GAGCTGTTCATGTGCTCGGTGCTGAAGCGGCAGGGCTACGGCGAGGGCTTCCGCTGGCTGGCGCAGTACATCGACTGAGCTCCACAACACGCGGCTCGCTTATAATCGTATGCTTTTATCATTCAACTACAGACGTAGCCGTCTTCATATAAATTTGCTTTGAAACTTAACTACATAAATCTAAAGGTATTTACAAAGTCTTGTAAAATATTCCATCGATGACAGTCTATTTAAGTAAAAACGTAATATTTTGTTATATTTCTTTTACTAGCATGTTAAGGATCGGCTACGTTTAAGAAATGGTCGAACGCGGCCGTTTGTAAGCAGCCCGCGTCGCTCGCCGCACTGCGCGTCTTAAGAGGCTCCCATTTATATAACACTTAGCGTATATCTAATAACTTCACATACAAAATAAATAAGTAAATTATGTGTTCAAATATAAATTGTTTAGAGAATTTTAAACTCATTCTAAGTACAAAAATACTTATCACTGCCAAATGGCGTTTCATAAAATTGATGCATCATGGCCGAATACTGAAACCACTAAATATGTAACATCGTTTTAAATATTAACATTTACCTATGCTTCATTTGCTTGCAGTATCTCTGGTGTTCATGGCCGTCTATGAGTATAAAAAATATCTTTAAAAAAAACTCTTAAGGGCCTGTCCCACTAAGTAAGTTGTCTGATAACAATCCAACGTGTAAAGTATGTGATGGAAATATCGGATTTTGTTTCCTTATCTGACAGTGACGTCATTTTTAAGCTATCTGAGCCTCTATCAGCCAGTGGTGGGACAGTTAAATTTCATTATAATTTTGAAGATTGTATGCTAGTGACTGATTCAGTATTCGGCTCAAGCAACGATCTATTCTGAGTTCATAAAGTATTTGTACTTATGAAATATATTTACAATGTACTTAGAACAGTACAAATATAAAATGGAGCTTGTTGAGATGTGAGCATTCGGTAGCGAGGTACACGAGCAGTCAACATCTGCGAATAGTTTAAGCTTATGGTTAATTTCAGGTTCCGATACAATGTAAAATTACAATTTGTAAACTACATTATTAAAGATAAAATTTTAATGGCAATCGATAAAAAAATACTTGTGTTATCATGTTGTAAAGATTAGTTTTATTATGAAAATGTCTATAATTTGGGAACCTCATTTATTTAGAACTATAACCTATTACTTATGCATCTCCACAAATAAAAGGAATGTTATTCCTTCATTGATTTTATGAGTTTTTTATTTTTCGTTTGCAATCAAGGTAGAAGCGCAACTGTACGGCCACTGGCAGTTTTTTCTCCAAAACGGACTTTGTCTCTTGTAATTTATTGACATTATGAAGTCAGCTCGGCCAACACGTGTTATGTAAAAATATACAATAATAGAAATATTATTTTATAAATATTAATTGCAGTTCTTATTTATTTCATTCCAACTGTATTGAGAAATAATTTTTGACCCATCATATCTCATTGTATTAAAAGCGACATCTGGTATATTTTTATATAAAAGTTTTCAATTGTTTGTTTTATTGTTAGAAAGTACATAATAAATCTATTAAAACAGGGAAATGGCTCGTCAACTCCGCACCAAAATATACTACTACTAAGTACTTCCTGTATTGTAGAATCATTTATTTTAGTTTTAATATTAATGATAAAAATTATAATCCTGACCGTATTCCTATGAAAATACAAGGGAAGAATACAAATCGAATTCACTGTACTGTTAAAAAAATAAAATCTTGTAAAATCCGTAATTTCTCAACAGAGATTGTTTTGAAATGGAAAATATCAAAAAAGATGACTTGTTCGTTCGTAGATTTTATAATTTAAAATGAATCCTTAATGTAATAGTGTAATGAATTTGAAGTAAGATGTGAGAATATCAAGTTAGTCGAATACATATGTATTTTGTAGTGTATTCGGAAATAATTGTTGAGACAAGCCATTTCAAACCGCACTGTTGAGTTCAACAAACGTTGGCCCTCCAGCTTTATTTAGGACATTCTTCGATTATATTATTTGCAGTTAAGTAAACAAAAAACAAAGTTTGTAATAAAAATTTATACAAAACAATAGCGCGTTTTATTTGAAATCTGCCTTTTTGTCTTATAAGACAAATCGAGCAGTCCAACGTAATGTACAATACGAGAATTTTTCAATGCTCTACCTAAAACCTAGTTATTTAAACAATTTGTATACATGGGACCAATAGGACTCAGCTTTTATATGGGACGAGGATATAGACTGCGAGAGTTACATAAATAAAAGACAAACATTTATACTAATTAAAAGTTTAATGACAGGAAAATAATGTGATAAAAATATTTAGTATAGAATATTTCTTAAGAAATACATAATTTCACAAATACACAAATTTCTCAAATAAAAAACATAATGTTGATTAATGTTAAGAATAATATGGGAATGCTTTAAATAAATAATTTGATGGTGAAGCGATGCAATATCATTTATAAAAACGATGCATTTTATTTTGTTTATAAAAAACTTAAACACGATTGATCTCATATCGATCTTTTACAATTATTTACAATCTGAAATCGAGATGATATTGCACATTATAACACTTAAAATTAGATTGCTTGATATACAATATTCGGACATATCCAGTAATTATTTATTACCTAACCAAGAACATAAAAACCCTGTACTGAGAGCGTTTCGGATTTGAATCACCATTTAATGTGTACAAAAAAATTAGTTCCATAATATTAATACGGCAGGATTTCTATATTTCTGGTCAGGTTTAATTTCCATTACATCAAGACGTACCGAAAACGATGGCTACATACAACCTACACTTGACAACGACACAAACAGTAGAGGCAACATTTCACAGTACAAATATTTCAGATGCTACTTTACTTTTCACATTGTATATTCGTCTATTTTGTTTTTAAATTCGTATAAATAAATGATATGATGAGATTTCAATTTTATACAACTTCACGGAAATATATTTATTCGATTACAATATGTAAATCAAATATATTTCATTACTCCCTTGATGATAAGAGCAACGCACACTTGTATAACTTTTTTCAATTCCGGTTCGATTCTTAATATAAAAAAAGCTTTATTTAGCTTGAAGTACATGATTTTACGATGTCTATACCGTACTATTTTTTTAAATTAAATAATCTACAATATTTTTCAACCTGTGGCGAATCATCACAAATCCATCATTAAATCCTTATAGTGACAGAACTTTCCTACAAAAACGTTACAGTTAGATACAAAATTATTTGATTT